TCTCTTGTAAATGAGTCCTCGAGGCTCAATGGGATTACCTGTCTAAATAAAGGTTGAATGAAAAAATACTCAACCATAATGGACCATTACAGTTTATGCCTTAATTTTGGGGGATTGTGATTTCCTGTCCAGATCTGCTGATAAGTATTTATTTGCTATTTTTACATCTGCCTGCAAAAAAGCTTTTTCGAAACATTGGCTGCTTCCCGAACCTCCCACACTCTCAGATTGGATGGATATTGTAAATGAAAAATGTATACAATGGGAGCAATTACATTTTCTATTCATCTCAAGGAAAGCATATTTATTAATATGTGGGTTAAATGGGTCAGATATGTAAAGCCCTTAAGACCAGACTTTGTAGAGGTACTGAATTAATGATCCTGTGGTGGTTTTTTCCTTCTCCTTTAATAAATCAAACAAAGTAATTAATCTGCATATTTTGTAATGCAAAAGTTTTTTCCTCTCTCCCAATTTGTTCTAAGTTCATAGATACTTTGTAAAAAAATACAGATGTCTAGATATTTCTGTTTGATTATTGTAAATCTGCACCATTGTCAAAAAATGAAGAATACCCCCCCCCCCAAAAAAAAAAAAAATCACCAGCCACCACAAAACCCGCAGATGCTTGTTTTGAAGCAAGATATTATCATGTAGCTCCCACATATTATACATATTTCTTTATTATTATTTATTTTATAAATATTTTTTCATATCCGTTCCTAGATTTTTTTCATCTTGAGCCCATTTTCATCATGACACCAGAATATCAGAGATGTGAATTATGTGGTGTAGAAATATTCCTTGTGAGTTTGTAGCGCTTCCAATTTCTTTTTACCTCTTAAATTTATCTTTTTTATCACGAATGTCATCAGCCTCGTTGTGGTTGAAGAGTTCAGCGATGCGCGTTGTCAGGTTGCTGTTGATGCAGTTCATGTTGCAGGGCGTTGCAACGATGGCACTCATGTGTTTGTGGCAGTACAGGATGCACTCGTCTACCTGAGCATGATGATAATTTACTTGTTAATAAAAAACTGAACTGCACAGGTAACTACCAGAAAACTTCATACAAGCTCAGATTGTTGCTGATTACAGTTGCTCTTTCATATAGTTAATTTTTATTTTATTTATTCATTCATTTAAAAGAAACAAAACAAATTCATCAAAAAGATAAAAACATTGAATAAAAAGGGTGCAGAAAGAAGAAGAAAATTCTTATAATATCTATATACAATAAACAAACAAACAAACATCTCAGGCTTGAACAACCCCAAAGTGAAAACAAAAAAAACAGGCATTCTTCACATGGTATCATACTTTCCTAACAATTGTAACTTAATCATCTTTTTAAATATAAACTGTTTTATAAACATTTATGGTGATGTCAAGTCAATTCCACATCCTGTTCCCTGAACTACAACTCGGCTCCTTCACACCAGTTCTAACTGGACATTTTACAAGCATTTCCATTCCCTTAAGGTTATAATAACTCTCTTGTTAACAAATTTTAAATGAATATTTGGGGGTAATATTTTTTATGAGTTTTATAAATGACTTGTAAAATACTATATACATTATACAATACATACAAAGCTTTGTCGTTCAGAAACTTTTACTTTATACAGTAATGCAATTTATTTTGTTATTTTTATTCTTAAGTAATTTACATGAGATTTCCACGTCAGCTTCTCATCAATGATGACACCCCAAAATTTTATTTCATTAACTCTATGAATTTCAATACTGTCAATTTTAAATGGGACTTCAATAATTTCTTTTTATTACTACATATCATGTAGTTTGTTTATTCCAAATTTAATGATAACGTGGAACCAAGTCTGTATTTTTACGAATTCTGCCTGTATCATCTATAACATCCATTCAATATCTTCACCTGAACAAAAAATGTGGTATCATCTGCAAATAAAATACACTTCAAAAGCCCTGACACATCAAATACATCATTCACATACACAATAAACAACTTTTGTCCCAACACAGAGCCCTGAGGAACTTCACATGCATTAACACATAATTCAGAGTGCACTAAGATTCATAACTGGTTGTAACTACTGTACCCACCACTGCACCCAGTATTCACTGGTTAACTGGACATCATTAACTTCACGCAGACTCTCTCACTGGTACCATTTTATTTTAATTTGCAAAAAAAAATAATAATAATAATAAATAAAAAATTTGTATGCCTCTTTTATGACTGTCTATTGTTGTTGTTATCCACTGTTGTCATCACTCTTAGTTAAAGAAATCAAGTCTCTCTTGTAAAAGAGTCCTCGAGGCTCAATGGGGTTTACCTGTCTAAATGAAGGTTGAATGAAAAAAAGAAGTATTAGAGAGAAGCAATGGAGAAAAACAGAGAAACTTGTTCCTGTGGAGAATGGTGATGCAGAGATGACAACGGAGGAAAGGACGGTCGCTCAGAAACATCCAAGCGGACCAGACTCGAGAGGAGTGACAGTTTTGGATGGGACTTGGCCAAAACATGAGCTGGACGGAAAAAAACAAAACAGGAAGCTGTCTCCACAAAATACACAGAATTGGTTGACATCATAGAGGACTCAGGAGAAAGAAGGAGGCCCTAATAATATAATTTTCCATGAAAAAACAAATCCTATTTTTTATTTTCTTAAAAAAATAAAAAATAAAACATTTAGAGGGAAGATGAAGAACGCCATTCTGTATTACTTTTGTGGATGTTTGATTTGTAATGAGAAGAACTCGAAGAGAAAGAGAGAATTCTTTCTGATAAGAATCAGAA